GGATCCTGCCACTACTTTCTCAAAAGTGTCTGCCACAGCCTTGGGGGAAAGGTAACCCCCTACCACACAGCGGTCCCAGTAGCTGCTCCCACGGGGGAAGTATTCTGGGTTTTCCCGACGCACCAGGCAGAAGCCAGGGATGTTCATGATGGTGTCTTCCCCTGGAATGCAAGACCATAGATTCTGCTCCAGGATCAGAGGGATCCTGCCACTACTTTCTCAAAAGTGTCTGCCACAGCCTTGGGGGAAAGGTAACCCCCTACCACACAGCGGTCCCAGTAGCTGCTCCCACGGGGGAAGTATTCTGGGTTTTCCCGACGCACCAGGCAGAAGCCAGGGATGTTCATGATGGTGTCTTCCCCTGGAATGCAAGACCATAGATTCTGCTCCAGGATCAGAGGAACAATGAGCTGGATGTGATCAGCTGTCACTACCTGTCGGGGGGGAGGGGGAGAAAGGGTAAGAATTAACAGTTGAGCCTGCTGGAATGAAGTCATCTGTCTGCCCACTACAGATCCTCCTTCAAATGGAAATCCAAGAGGCTCACATCCTTTCTAAATGGGACTCTTCCACCCTCCCCTCCCCCGCCCCAATCAGGAAACATCTGAAGGGTCATTCTTCATAATCCATGGAAAAACCACAGGTCCTAATGAAATCTGGTATTTAATCAGTATGTGCACAAAAGATCTCTACATGCCTTAAACGCAAATGGATATACCAACTACAAATGGACTATTTCATCTACCACCTAAATTGAATCCGTCTTGAGTATAATGTGACAGATGCTTCAGCATACAACATTACACCACCATTTGGGACACGAAATAAAGAATAAATTCTGCCTGCAGCTTGTCAATTAAATTATCAAACCTTAATCATCCTACAATAGAATCTGGCACATATACTGGAGGCAACGCCCCAATCTCTTGTGAAAGGCATGCTGGGATCTTTAATGACAGTATGTGATTAAAACCTCTGATTTAATTTGCAACTGATGCAGCACTTCATCCAGGAGCACAGAATCAGTGCTGTCTCAGAAGTGACTCACAATAGCCAGCGGCCATCTTTGCATCAAACATCCACAGCTGAGATTGCTCTCCAATTCAACTCTGTCATGTGTTAAAAACAAACCAAAAGAGAGTAGAAAAGGCTTACGGGAACATACAAGAGTTCCAACGCATTTGGAAGGAGATGTGCAAGGCAAGTAGTGTGGGGAAGGACAGAAACAAGAGAAAAATGGAGATGTGGCAGAAGCAAAACAGGAAAATGGGGGCAGGAGGGAAGGCAAAGAAAGAAGGATCTGGGGACAATCAGAAAGGAAAAAATGAAGGTAGTAAAAGGCAAATGTTCTGCAGACACAGCCAAAGTAACATGCCTATTTTGCTAAAACATCACATGAATGTATTCCCATGAAGTATGGCTCTGGAAAGCTTTTTAAACAGGAATGCTGTGCTGAAGCAGTACAGCCAGCAGGGAAGCCTGCAGTTACCCTTCAGCATAATGGATACCACTCACATCAATGAGTTACCTGCAGATCATCGTACAGGCTGCCACTGAGGTACATGTCTCGCAGGGGCATGTCTGGCAGCTTGGCACGTAGGAAGCTACGCAGTTCAGCACAGATATCTACTGCTGCCTGCTTGGCCCGGGCTTGCTCTTCTGCTGGGATAGCCACTTTTCTCCGGTAGTAGGCAAACAGTTTTTCTTGCAGGGACAGACGGAGGTGGGACTTCTTCAATTCTACTTGGCTCCTCTTGGCAGACTGTTTGGGCTTTGCGGGTTGGAAGATGTCTGCCAGGCAGGAGAGAGAAATCCCGTGATCCCCAATAGTCCATTGCTAAAAGTATGACAGAGATAGCTTGGCAGCGCTAAAATGCACCCACCTCCAGAGTGGATTTTAGCAGTCATTTTGCAGGCTTTACTATGAATATCGTAGTAGGACAAAGTTGTGAATAGCTTCAATTGTAACTACTAAAGGAATTAAATGTGCAGAAAGTAAACTCTCTGAGCTGGAATTTAACCAGGACAATGAGACTAACACTTCATATCATTATGTTAATGACTGTAAGTGAGCAGTTAAACTTTACCCAAATGACAGTAGCCCTTGCAGCACAAGTACCTCTAACAGGATGCAGGAAAAATGAGGGGACTACAGTACACCTTCCAGGATCACCAACACCTGATTTTTTTCTGAAGGACTTCTATCAATGTATGACAAAGCTCAGTGCTGTTTTGCTTCTGGGATGTGATGCGATTATAGTAATTTAAGATGGTAATAATGCCCTGACATCACATTATAGATCAAGAGGCAGGCCAGAGCAGGTGGGAGGCATGAACAGCTAAGAGCCACTGCAGGTCAGGCCATTACAGGGCTTGCATTGTTTTGGGAGAAAGAGATACTTGAGAAATCTCCCTCTCTCACATTTTACATCAAAAGCGAGACCTTCTCAGATCTCATTAATACAACAAAACCTCTTTATGCTACAGTACTTCTCTCTGGTTAAAATACAAAGCAACCCCTGCCTCCCTTCAGGATAGGAAACAGAGTACCTCTTCCTGCATGCAGTATTCAAGATAATTTTAAAAGCTACAGCAATGTCTTTATTCAGCCCCTAACTGACACCCCCACCTTAGGGGGGGGATGACTGAGCTCATTTAATGACTTTAGAGGACATAATTCCACACACGACATAGATGTCTTGGTCATTAAGCTTCTTGCTGCTCACTCGGTAGCAATGCCAAAGCCATCCTGGACTTGGCCTGCTCGGGAAACAAAGAGTTGGACACCAGGTAAAGTTCTATGTTAGATTATTGATTGCAGATTCTACATTAACCACCTCTAAAGATCACCAGTTTTTAAAAGATCTGTTTTACTTGCAGAGGGATTGACAGGATTGAAAGGGCAGCTGCTGTAATGCTGAAGGAGTCACACTGCTTTTTACCTGAGTCTGAAGCTGAGGGGTCAGTGGGGAGAGTCTGTAGGGAGCGGCTCAGATTTTTCTTCATATCCTGGTTCAGTAACCGTGATGAGGACCCCAGCCAGTTTGGCTCCTCCCAACTTCTCTTTCCAGACTGACTCAAGCGGGTGGGGCTGCTGGGAGCACTGATTGCTCTGTCATACATCTGAAATAGCATCAAAGGCACACCAGAAGTTACATTTATTAAATGCTGCATCCACCAGCCCACATCCTTTCACTTCCCATCCCCACATTCCTTAGTGTTCATCTCCCTAACCCTCACCTTATTACTTTCAGTGTCCCTGTTCTAATGTTTCATGTCCCTCCTCCACACTAGGGATGTTAAAAAGTGGGTAACTGGGTTACTATGTAACTGCTAAAATGTCAGCAGTTACACACACCTGCGTGGGGAGCTGACGCGCGCTGGTTGCCAACTTGCACTCCTCCCTCTGATACAGAGCCAGCAACGTGGGCTGGCAGCTGGCTCCTCAAGAGCAGAAATGAGCCTGTGTGTAACAGTTCACAGGCTTAGAACGGTTATTCTATTACATCCCTCTACTCCACACAAGCACACCTTCCTTCCCTTATGCCTCCTCGCACTTACTCGCTTGACCGCCAGTGTGGCAATGCCTAGCATGGCAGCGCCGCCCACACCCAACACGAGCCGGGCATTGGATAGCACAAAATCGATGGCTGTGCCAATGCCGTTGTCATCCTTCTTCCCCTTGCGCTCTCCAGCACCTGCCATCACACCTTAAGAGGAAAGAACAGATTTGTAAGAATGTTGTACCCACCCAAGCTAAGCCTCCATCTCCTCAGATCCTTGCTCATTGTTCTTTAAAGATTAGGATTTTTCCAAAATGAATCAGATTAATAGTCCATCAATTTCTGTATTTTGCCTCCTACCAAACTGGCTAATATGGTCTAAGCCAGTGAACTTGTCTCCAAGAATGGCTAATGTCAGACTCTCCAGAGAAAGAAAATAAAACCCCTTTAATGTTCCTAATTACATGATATTTTAATCATAGGGAAAATGTCTTCAGCTCCAGCTCTTGGTTTATGACGATTAACAGCATGATGATTAACAGCTCCTGACATTTTACCCCACCGCAGGTCATTATGAACCTTTACACATAAATATAGCAACACTCTGGTACTAGGACCTGCTGTAAGTACAATGCAGCAGCACAGAATGCTGACCTGGGAAGACAGCAAATGAGGGGGCACAAGCTGGGAAGGAGTTCAGAATCCACCAACGGAGGCAGTTGGTGGGCAAGGGGAAGGGGGGGAGCTGCTAGAGGAGGAGAGGAATCTAGATGCTGAGGTAGCAGATGAACTGGAGCCTGGGCAGAAGGTGAGGTGATAAAATAAAAAAGTGGAGAACTGAGGTGGAAGAAAGAAGGACAACAGGAAAAGTTTCAAGTCAGGAGAAACAGCAGGAAAAAAAACAACCCCACACCTGGCTATGTGAGCAGACACTATCAGATCAAAGAGAGTGTACCAAAAAAAACCTGAAAGGAAATACAGTTGGCAAAAGAAAGGATGGATCAAAAAAATGTTTTAAATTAAAACAGATCCTGAAAAAGACCCATACACGAAAGACATAAAATGTGTAACACAGAATGACTGAATATCTATTGAAGGAATACATGGAAAGTTGCTTAATGGGCGAGTGCCCTCTAGTTAAGGAACCCTGCTTGTAGATAAACTTGATGAAAACAGGTACAGCCACAGGAACAACAAATTTAAGGAGTGCTTCAGTGAAAGGGGAAGCAAGAACAGGACTGAAAGAGAGGAACTGGATCTATAGCCAAGGAGAAGAGAAGTTGATTGTTCCTAGAAGTGGCACAATATATTGTTAAATAGCCTCTTGTTCTTTTTAATAATAATAATGTATTTTGCACAGAGAAAGGAAGAACAACATGTACAAATTCCTAAGGATTAATTAATTAGTAACACAGTTTGTTGTTATGCACATTAAGTCTTAAGTAGTAAGTCTTTGATAATGTTCTATGTTATTTATGCACTTCGAACAATTTAGGGGTTATACCTTATAAAACTCTAAAAATATAAAGTGATTCCTTGACAGAACACATAACTATCTAATGCTTTTTTAAAAATTTATTAACATATTTGCCTCAAGTTATATCTTGTAATAGCGATTTCTACATGTTAAGTAATATATTAAACTATATTACCCTTTATGCCTTTTTGTTTTTACCAGCTGAATACTGTACTAAGGGACAAGCCTCTATGCCACTTAATCCTTCCAAACCAAGAGTTATAGTCCCTTTCTATTGCATCTCATCAGCTTGCAGAAACTGCAATCTAGTTGTCAGTGGAGAAAAAAACAAACAAACCAGAATTTTTCTAGTGGTGTACAAGAGGAAAGGAATCGCGGTATTAAATCACATCACTTCTCTGACAGTGGGCAGGCAATACCAGATACTTTCAAGGAAGATACAAGAAGCCCCATAATGGGAAATTATGAATTAGTCTGCTCACAGAAAAAGTTTTTCTCCTAATCCCTGGGAGTTTAGGCCCTAAAGCATGAGCCTTTATCATTTATACAAAGATAATATGCAACATAAATATAACTATTCTCATTCATATGAGCATCTAATTTTGAATCCTATTAAATTATTCATTCAATAATATACATGGCAATGAGTTTCTCTGCTTAATTATGTGGATAAAAAGTATTTTCTTTGGTCACTTTTAAACTTACTATTTCTCAGATTCATCAATGATGTATCTTCACTAGGGAAATTTTCAGAACTATTTTAAAGCCCGTTCCACTATACTAACTTTAGAATTAGCTAAAGGCACATTATTTAGGCAATTTTAAATGGCCATATTTGTTTTTCTGAACCAGTTTCTAAAATCACTTTAAATTCCAAGAACTCAAGAAGGATAGTCTCTGAGCTGATGTGTCTGCAATCAAAATACTTTTGATCACTTTTCAGAGATTAAACTTTTCACAGTGGCGCCACTAAAACAGTGATTCTCAATCTTTTGGGTCTCAACTCATTTGTAAATGTTTATAGCCTCTTGTGACCCAGTAAACAGTCTGGTGGTGGGAAGCCCTCAGGCAGAGCTGTAATTAAGCATTTTAGTGCTCCAGGAAAGCAAACATATTTCCACCCCCTACCAGAGGGGATGTGGGAAGGGACCATGTAGGGTTACATGCCATCACCCCCAGATTTTTTCTAGAGGAGGCTGAATCCTGCCACTCACTTACTCCACATTGGTACCCGCTGCAGCTCATGTCCTGTGGGGCTGACTGGGTTTGGCTCTCCACTCTGGAGTTGCAGCCTTGCTCAGATTTGGCCCTACCAGCTGCACCAAATTTGTGAGCGTGGTGTTGTGATCTAGCTTACCTGACTGCAGTACCACCCACTCAACTCTGCCCTATTCAGATTTTTGTCATCATAACAGCTGGGACAAACCTCTGAATGATGTTGGAACCCCAGAGGTTACAGTGCATGGAGTAGGAAGTCAAGCCAAACCAACCAACCAACCTTGTAGGACAAGAGTCACAGAAACTGCCACGTCACCCTTTGAAACACTCTAAGGACCCAATTTTGAGTCCTTATCCACAGGTTGAGAAACTCTACATTAAAACAAACAACAAAAATCATATTACGTGGCTATGAACAACCTACCTAAAAGCTTAATGCATCTGGGAGAATAGGGGAACACTGCCGTACAGCTATTCAGGCACCTTCGGGACTTTATTCTTCAGTTTCTGGTGGGCAGAAGATATTAACCATCTGTCCAGGAAGATTCAAGAGTTTTGGAGGGTGAAAATAAGGAAGCAGAGCAGGAGGGAAAGACTAAACCAACCCTCCCAGTTTATTGCGCAGGAAAGCCTGCCCCTTCTCCAGTTGTCTCTCCTTATCTTCAAGCCGCTCCAACTGCAAATTCTTGCGGAACTCACGCCGGATGGATGCAAAGTAGAAATCACGGTCAGTGTAACGTAGACCACGGCCCTGGCGCAGCAGCGCACGATAAAGGTTCAACACTGCCTCACGGGACCACGCTGCCATGGGGGACAGATGTAGGTGAAGACAAACTGAAGAAAAACGGATGGGTGAAAATAAACATTCGTTTCCCAGCTGCATTTTGCCATTTCCTCTTGGAAGTGTCACCCCCAAACTTTCCCCACAAGCTCCTGGGAAAGGGGAACCCGGGGGGGGGGGCTTGGGTTTCCACCTGAGAAAAGAGGGAAACATCTTAAAGCAGAGGAAAAAAGCCTTAGTGGGGGGACAGGGGGGCGGCGAAAAGCTTCCACCTTCTCTGCCATCAAAACACTGCAGGCCACTGTGACTACCACCACCACCTGGGTCAACTTCGCTGGCGCCTGTCTCCGTCCCGGCTTCCCCTGCCAGGTGCTTTAGGGGCGGCACCTGCGGGGGGGGGGCTCCCACCGACTCCCAGGTGCTGGGGGGGATCCCTCCCCCAGCCCCCCCCTCAAACTCACCGGGGAAGCGGGGGTTGGTTCTTGCTCCTTCTCTGACGCCTGGTCCCGTTTCTGGCCCCCCGGCACCGATTCCCCGGGGTCACCCGGCAATATGGCCGCTTCGCTTCCGGGGCACGACCCCGCACGGAGGCCAACCAGAGAGCGCGAGTGGGAGCGCAGACAGTATGAGCGGGGGGGGAGGGGCCAACTTCCGCTTGCCTTGGCGCGAGGCTGCCCGCCCGGCGGCGCTGTACGGTACGCCTGGGGGGACAGCCTGGAACCCCAGCGCTGTCCAAAGTGGCGCGATACGTCAGTAGCGCGTGGGCAAGCCCTAGCGGGGAGCGAAGCGCGTGGGCAGGACCCTGCAGCAGGCTCTGGCGCCTCTGGCTGTGGCTGCAGCACGCCGGGCAGGGCGGGGCTCGCCTCTCGGGCGGGGCCAGTCTAGCCACCGGGAAGCTCTTTAATCCGGTTTCACCCCGGTGCTTTGGTGCAATGTCTCATGGGCACCTTGGCCGCCGGCTTAGCAAGCGTGTCGCTCTCCCCCGGGTTCAGGCAGCGCTGGCTTGGGGCTGCTGGTTCTGCCCCTACGGGCAGCCTGCCTTAGCATTGCAGATGCCGCTACGCAGGGCTGCCGCACTCGGGACCGGGTGCAGGCCGTCTTGTCACTTCCTGTCTCTGCTTAGGTGTTCATTTACAGGTTTCATACACTGCAGTCAAAGAGCGCCAGGCCAGTTCTCTGCCTGACCTGGGTAATCTTTTGAAACATGCCCTTTATAAATAAACATTCATTAATTACCCTAAAATCAAATCTGATACCCAATGACAACCATTGATTAGCAAATTCTGAAGATCAGATCCTTTAGAATTTGGTGTTGAGTGTAGTTGGGATACTATGTTGAGATACGTTACATTTGCTTCTAAATTTAGTTTTAGATCCTCTGATGCTTTGCGGTTCAGGAAGGGAGTGTTTGTTACTTTAGTTAGGGTGGCAGCAGAAGTTAAACGTTTTGTTAGTCTTTAAAGGTGCTACCAGACTGTTTGTTGTTTAAGTTTTTCCTGTTAAGGACTAACTCTGCTATTCCTCTGAAGCTTTTTTTTTATGTTGATTAGTAGAGTTTCGTTCTGAAATTGCTCTTGGGCAAGTCCCAATGTGTGCAGTACTTGCTTTCAAAAGTGCAGGTGAATAATTGCTCTTGAAATCTTGTTCTAGCTCGTGTTAAACTGCAGTTCTTCTCTAAAACATGACTTTGTACAAATTGTGCAAGAGGGTTCCATTTGTATGGTCTCTGGATCCAATATAAATATACCCTCAATTTACAACCAGTTTTTTAATTGCCTTTGCCTACTCTTCTCCCCCTTATTTTGAATTATATAAAGGCAGTCTGAAAGATTATTTGCTTCCTTTATTTTAAAATTTGTTTTTGCTTTTTTAATCTTTGAAATATTAATAACATTAAATCAGGGTTGGAGAGTTTGTTTTGTTGGACGACTCTTGGGGGTTCTCAGATATGCTTATTGTGAAGTCTCAAACCTTAACTGAAAGAGTGGGAAAATTGACACTTTTATACAATAAGCATTTCAGCCAAAAGTCATTTTAGGCATTAGAGTTAAATGTGTAATTTTTAAAACAATTATTTCCAAACCATTCCCCCTCACAGTCTGTTAACTTCTGTCATTACAAAAGTTAAGTTCTCCCATTACATACAGATCTGTCTACACTAGGGAAATTTTGCAAGCCATTATTAACACAGATTCAGCTTCACCAGTGTTAGCAATGTTGGGAGCTCTGGTATCCATGAGCCAGTAGATACCACTACTGTTTTAAGCACTAGGTTGGTTAGATCCACTTGTCAAATGAGAGCCACAGTTCACAGCTCTGTCTGTAGTTCTGTCTAGAAACATACTTCTCATTAAACCTTCCCATTGAACAAAACACCCAGGCTGCGTCTAGACTGGCAAGTTTTTCCGCAAAAGCGACTGCTTTCGTGCAAAAACTTGCCAGCTGTCTGCACTGGCAGCTTGAATTTGCGCAAGAGCACTGACTTTGTAATCAGTGCTTCTTGCGCAAATACTTTCACACTCCCTCTCGGGAAAAAGCCTTGCGCAAGAATACTTGCACAAGAGAGCCAGTGTAGACAGAGAAGAACTGTTTTGCGCAAAAAAGCCCTGATGGCTAAAATGGCGATCGGGGCTTTCTTGTGCAAAAGCGCATCTAGATTGGCACGGATACTTTTGCGCAAAATCTAGATGCGCTTTTGCGGAAATACTTTTAACGAAAAAACGTTTCCATTAAAAGTATTTCCGCAAAATCATGCCAGTCTAGACGCAACCATATAGTTTTGCCAGTTAACATTTTAAACCGGGATATTACATCAATGCTTCTAGATTATTCCTATACATTACATATACAAATACCAATACAGAAGACATGGCTTCATTCAACAGTAACCTTACATAGGCTACTCCAAAATGCTGCACTGGTTCCAGAGTTCATGTTGCAAAAAGCTTTTTGTGTCCTTTTTCACACACTACTTCTGGAAGCAGAGCACTCTCTGTCCATGTACAACTGGGGAAGGAAAAGTGAAACAAAATATTTAGCAACAATCTTTTCCATCTCCCTAAATCAAGGGTGGGCAATAAGTGGCCCTCAGGCTGGATGTGGTTTGTCAGGGTTAGCCATTGGTGGGCCGTTGGCACTTCATTCCCCTAGCTCCCATTGGTTGTGGTCACTGTTCCCAGCCAATGGGAGCTGCTTTTAAGCAACTGCCTAAGGCCTTCATTCAGCAAATTAAGCATGTGTTTAGGTATTTTGCTGAAAGGGGAGCTAGATTGTGTGCCACTGCCCTCTACTGAATATAGGTCTGGTCAAGTAAGTGAGAGTGCTCTCTTAAGGACGTTAAGGACTAGTCGATTATCCGATAAGCAAATGTTTATCGGATAGTCGAGTCAATTAGTCTATTCCTCCCCCCCCCCCCTTTGCTGCCTCTATCAGATAGAGGCAGCAAAGCCATGGGGAAGTGGGGGTACTTCAAAACAGCAGCACCGCATAGAGCCTGTACCCGGGCTCTGTGCAGCGCTGCCGCTTTGAAACACCGTGGTGGCATTTGAGTGGAGCCTGGGGTCAACGGGGTACTCCCCAGCTGACCCCGGGTTCTGTGTGACATTTCAAAGCAGCAGTGCAGCATGGAGCCTGGGGTCAGCAGGGGACTCAGTCCCCCGCTGGCCCCAGGCTTCATGAGGGCACTTCCACTTTGAAATGCACAAGAAAATGCATGATTGAAAATAAGTTATAAATACATCCACCTAATGTTCTTAAAGTAACGGAACATAAAACAGTAAAGGGTTATAATAAAATGCCTTATAGAGGAAATAATAAAGATATACAAGATAACTTTTGACCCAATCACATCTAATTCATGAAATTGTCATGATAAATCTTCATTAGCCTAAAATTATACTGTACATTTGTCTCTTGTTCTTTTTCCCTTTTAAGGTGGGAAGATCGCTGGACCTCATAATTATAATTTACTTTAAATTCAATCCATGTTAGGATATATAAATAATGGATTAGAAGATAATTATGACAATTTAATCAATACTGTGCTCACTGTGCTTATTCTGCCTCTAAATGGAGATAGCAAGACTAGAGAGGGTTCAGGTATGGAGAGAGAAAATGCTCAGATATATGGAAAGGCTTCCACAGGAGGAACAATTGAGACTTGTTTGCAGAGAAGAGACAAATAAGTGGGGAGATGATAGAGATATGCAAAATGATGACTGGTATAAAAAAGGTAAAAAATTATGTGCTCATATAGTAATCCTCTCTCAACAAGAAGACCTTAATTGAAATGAGAAAATAACCTGATAAAAGAGAATACAGTTTTACAAAAAGTATTATTTTTTATGTGGTTCTATTCAATGTCTCCATACATTATTTGAATAACTGCATTGAGAGTACACTTAAAGTTGTGGACTGTACTGAGCTCCGAGGGGTTGCAAGCATTTTGGAGGACAGGATTAGAATTCAAAATGATCTTTACAAACAGGAGAAATGGTCTTGAATAAATGTAAACGGCACAGATTCTACATGGTCGTTTGCTTGGCAGTAATCTATGACCAGGTGGTATATTGGGTCGTCTCTAGGACCATTCTGTTTAGGTATACCCCAGCCT